TCCCTTCATAGATGCAGCTTAACGTAAGCAGGGTGTTTACTTCAGTCTTACTTCAGTCCCCCAGTTGTGCTATGGAATGACTTGCTGTTTTACTCTGGTCTGAAATGCAACCTAATTTTCTCCATTGCTCTTCACAACCATAAAGCAAGTCATGAAACATCACGTGAACCACATGATTTTCTTGTCTACTGTAAACTATATATAAACTATAAAAGCCCAAATTCAACTGTCCTGGTCACAAAAACAGTTAAAGCAGTTAAAATCTAAATAAGCTATGAAATTATTACTGGCCAGAATAATACATAGTACACAAAAGAGAAAGCAGTTCATCTGACAGAGAAAGTTCTCCCTAAAAACACAGCAGCTGTTCAACAGCTCCTTGATTAGAGCCACTCAAGGATTTTTCTAAACTCTTTTTTGTTGGGATATTCAAATTCACCCTAATGAGAAATTTTATGAAAGGATATCTAACTTTTATCTGGAAAGGTCAGATTCATACACCTTTTGAAGGACAGAAAACTATGACTATTTTAGTACTCTGGGGCTGGCAGGCAAATAACCAAAAAATGCACAAGAGCCCAGACACGCAGCCTTGATCACATGCAGGAAATCCAGATTTAAGTCCTTGGCTTCTTTGATTTATAACTTTCCGTATCAGGAGCACAGGAACCCACTTTTACCCTAGGAAGCAAATCATTTGTTTACAAAGCTGTGCAGAATGTTTTTGCAATCACTGTAAAAGATACATTTGGTCTTTTTTGCTTTGAAAAACAACTTGGAAATGTCCAAAGCTTYTTATCTACTTCTATGTAGAGGATGAGAGATACAGGTATAGATAAGGAAAAGAGGTGAGGGGAAGCACCTGACTGCTCTTTACCTTAACTGTACCTCACATGTCTCAAAGGAAGCACAGCTATAGATAAATATTTCTAATGAAAAGAGATTTTAGCACCATTATGAAGATTATGCAGTTAAATTCATTCTCACACTGTCCTTGGATTGAATACTGAAATTTCAATGCTATTTTAAATATTTAAGGAACAAAATATGCTGATTATTTATGACACCAGAAMTGTATTGCTATGTACAGGTATTAAAAAACTAATCACTAGAACAAACCTCTTGCTTAACTCAATTACAAAACAAAGTTTAACTTAATCTAGGTCCTATGATTGCCACAAAGAGCAACTTACTTTAGGAGGACTCAGCTGAGAGGTATAGACAATATATGTGAGAACTGTTCCTAATCCTGTGAGACAATCTGCCACGTACCCAGGGTAATGAATGAAGAGGAGACCTCTTTAGAGAGGAAAGTACAAAGACAGAACCTGTTAAACAAGAGCTCACCCCCCTCTTCCTTCAGGCCAGGAGCTGTTTCTCAGGTATCCATTCCTGCTGAGCACACAAGGACATTTAAAATTCCTTCCTGCAAAATCTGCAGTGCACAGCCCATCTTGCCTACGTGGGTTTGGGAAGCACATTCCTTTGCAACAATCAAGGACAACATAGTTGTAACTTAGAGCCATGAAAGGAGTTAACCATTATCCTTTCGCTCTTAAAGGAGGATTTTCTGTGCTGATGGGGAGATAAAAAAAAAAACTCCTCTATTTTATTTCACAAAATATTGATTTTTTAATATATGAAATCTTGAATTCCAGCAAGTTGTTTATAAACTCCTATGCACATACAGACTGAAGGAGTGAAGAAAGTAGTGCTATAATCACAAATGTCTATTTTGGAAACAGTTTCTTGATTATGCTCTTAATCCAACCTCACCATTGAAAACTCCCCCAACCTTGCTGCCTAGGTGCTAACACATACATTGATTCCAAATACATAAATGACAATATTTAATCACGATGAAAATAGGGATTAGGAAAAACAGGCTATACTTCAAACAGACAAAAACGCAAATGACTTTCATCACCAAAACCATATCTGTGAAGACAATGAAAAAGAAAAAAAAAATCCATCAAATCAGAATAACTTCTGAAAAATACTTAATGATGTGATCTGTAACCACAGCTCAAGACTTTATAATTCCTATGCAGCAGCTGGAAAGATATCTGCAATGTAGGAGAGGCTCCTGCACTCAGCACACAGTGGGACACTCAACCTCGTTACTCACTGCAGTGATTTGCCCATCATTTCACTGGCACAGGCAGGTCCTGCTCTTCCTTTGAGAAGACACCTGGATGGCTGGTGTGCACATGCAGACAGAAAATGAACTTAAAGGCAAAAAGGAATAGGATTGGTTTGCTGTTACTAAGACATGTAAATGTATGACTGTATTTGCTCTTAAAATTCTGACCTATTTTCCATTTGCAAAAAGGGTTATGGGGATTATCTATAGATGAACAAAACTATATTTGAGTGTAATGATTGAAATSCTTAGAAATRTTCTGCATAGCATCAGTGGTATTATCCTTATTAGTAAGACTTCTCAAGAAAATTAGCATTGGTAATGTCAGAAAGGCTTCTAGTTCTAGTATTTTTAAAAGAAAACTTCTTGTGATTAGTGACAGTATGAGATAAAGCAGTATCCTGAGTAAAATMTCAATTTATTTTAAATAAGTTTAACCAGAATATTGAAGAGTGATACGCCTGAAAATACCAAAAATTTATAAGATAGTTCAATACGACTCTGGAATTTAGGTTCTTTCTTTGCAACAAGTGGAACCAAGTTTGTGTATATGAAATGCTTAGAGTATCTCACGTGTTTCATCAAGTTGGAGCTGTTGCCACAATTATTACCCATCTTTGAACAAGGTCAGATCCTGTTCAAGTGGAAATAGTGATTCTTTAAGGATAACTCTTTCCCCACAGCAATCCATTCCTTGTAGATAAACAATCTGATAAGGATAGTTTCACAGTAAAACTATCACTAAATAAAACAGATTGGGAAAAAAAAAAAAAAAAAAGCAGAGTCCTGATCATGTGAATTAAGGTGAATTAAGTCACAGAATGGGTGAGACTGGAAGGGAACTCTAGAGATCATCTAGTTCAATCTCCCTGTTCAAGCAGGCACACCTACAGCATGTGGCACAGGGTGGCATCCAGRCAGGTCTGGAAGGCCTCCAGAGAAGGAGACTCCACAAGCTCCTTGGGCAGTCTGTTCCAAGGCTCTGTCGCCCTCACAGGAAATAATTTCTTCCTCACATGCAGCTGGAACTGTCTGTGTTGCAACTTACACCCACTACCCCTTGTCCTGCTACTGGCCACCACTGAGAAGAGCTTGGCCCCTTCTTCCCTACATTCCCCCTTCATGCACTTATACATATTGATAAGATCCCCTCTCAACCTTCTCTTTTCCAGAGAAAACAGGCCCAACTCACTCAGTCCCTCTTCCAGTCCCTTAATCATATTGGTTGCTCTCTGCTGGACCCTCTCGAGAAGCTCCATGGCCCTCTCATACTGGGGAGCCCAGAACTGCACCCAATACTCCAGGTGAGGCCTCACCAGAGCTGAGGAGAGGGGCAGAATCACCTTCCTTGACCTGCTGGCAACACTCCTCCTGATGCAGGCCAGGATGCCATTGGCCTTCTTGGCCACGAGGGCACACTGCTCACTCATGGTTAACTTGGTGTCAACCAGGACTCCCAGGTCCCTCTCTGTGRAGCTGCTTTYCAGCAGGTCAACCCCTAATCTGTACTGGTGCCTGGGGTTATTCCTCCCCAGGTGCAGGACCCTGCACTTGTCCTTRTTGAACCTCATGAGGTTCCTCTCTGCCCAACTCACCAACCTGCCTAACTCTAAGTCAAGGGCAAGAAACACATTTTTTCAGTACAATATTCAATAATATCTCATAATATAAACAAAACCACAAACAATGATGGCCAGAAATATGTCTATCATATTAGAAGCTGATTACACAACTTTCTGCTTCAGTCACATTCCCAGTTTCTTAGGGAGTGTATAGTATTAGACCTCTATCTGTTGCAGTGTCTAAACTAGACAGGTAGTGTTTCTAGCTAGGATTAACTATTTAGGAACTTGTAGATTGTTTAATTGAACAAAACTAAGATAAATTCTTTTTCATATTTAAAAAGCTTCATATAGGCACTGTGTCCATAATAAATCAAATGCAAAAKTTTTTATAACAGGGATATATCAGAAATATACTGGAAGACTACGAAAGTTACTATTTTGGCAAACTATACTAGTAAATGTAGCTAAATAAACACAGTTTTACCAAGTTCAACTGCAGTTCTACAAAATAACTGTATCCACAACCAATGTTTTGGGAGGAGTCATATCAGACTATTTCTCCTAAGATCCTAAGATGTTTCCCAAGCTCAAACTCTCAAAAAACAAATATTCTTAAGACTTAAAAGACACAATCCCAAATAGCACAGAAAGGTTTGTTTAGAGGAAACCAGACCAAATAAAAGATATAGCTGATGCTCCTTTACAACACACGTAACTCCAATGCAAGGACACTTCRCATTTTTATATTATTATATTCTGAACTCTAGGCTCTGCTAGTGGCCATATACCTGCTACTGTACTGCATTCAAAGGGCACCAAAGCTCTTCCAGAGTCTAACACACGTGGCAGCTTTCCAGAAATTCCYGTGGTCCAGCCACGCAGAGGTCCAGCACCCACCTCCCACAGGGAGGCAAGTTGCCTGAGCCCTGGGCTGCCGGCTCAAGGCAAGAAGGGCGGTTTCAAAGGAAGGTCCTTCAGTTCCTGTCCTCGAGAGCCACCCCCCAGGTCAAGCACACATGTCCCAGCAGAGGCAAATTCACCCCTGTCGTGCCCTTGTAACACCAGCCAGGTAGGTCCATGAATAGGGCAGGATGAAGTGGTGGGAATTTATGCTCCAGGAAGGCACTTTGCAGAGGTTTGAATCTTGGGGATTCAAAAATCCCCCAGAGTATTAGCAAGTCCCAAGGGGATGTGGGATGAGGGAGTGTTGGGAAGGTAAAAATATTGTTTGAAAAATAATCACTTCTGTTACTACAAAAGTGATTTTAAAAACTATTAAGTATTTTAGTTACCTTCTGGAGGTGGAGGAGGAAATTCCTCTGTATCCATTCTAGTGTATCCACCGTGCCCTCAGCAGACCAAAAAACTCCTGCAAAAGAAAACATGTTTTGTAGATGAACATCATTTCCAGATTTTCAGACACTCCTTCTTCATTTGGCCAAGCTCATACCTATTAGCTAATACTGTTGTGGACACAAGGCAGTGTGCCTGGCTCTTAGCTTCAAATTACATCGGGTCCAGATTTTTCTGCACGCAGCCCTTAGCACTGGAGATGTTTCTTGCATTGCTCGCAACGCCAGCTGAATAAAGATGAAGCTATTTGGTACTCTGCAGCTCCCCTGGTGACAGCTACAGCCAGATTATTAAAAGATGTTATTTTAGCGCCTGTTTGTGCCAAATATTCCACTTCAAAATCTTCATGTAGGAGGAGGGAGAAAACGTCCAGGAAGCTGATCAGTCCTAACGATGTTTTTTTTCCATTTGCCAATTAATATTGCAAATCACAAGCACCAGCACCTAATGCCCACTGAGCTTGTCAATGCACCCCAGTTATTTTTCTCTCGGAACACACCATTTCTGCTTATACTGTTTAATTTGCAGGACCATATAAGGAGCCCCTACAGTCACTTTGAAAGGAAACCACCATAGCAACCGCTGTATTTTCCCCATTTCATCCGCCCTTTGCTTTGCCTTCAAGATCTTTTGTTTTCTTCTCCCAAGAGAAAAAAAAAAAAAGAAAAAGAAAAAGAAAAAAAAATAGGTTGAGAGGTTAAAAGATTACAAAGGTTCTTAAAGCACTTTAGAGGTCTAACTGTACACTTCAAACCTAGGGGTAGTTTTGGTTGGTTGGTTGTTCTTCTGCAGGATGCAGTTCAAAACCACTGGTTGAGGCTGCTTTGCTTTCCCCGTTCCTGAGAGCAGTGAAGCAACAGCGAGGAAACCATGTGAGCACCTAAGCTCTTCTCCTCTCTCCTCTAAGGCGAAGCCTCATGTTTTAAGCTAAAGAATAAAACCATGTCCATACTTTGGCCCAGAACACACCCCGGCAGAGAGCAAAGCCTGGAATACCCAGCAGTTTTCCTTCCTTTCCTCTCCAAAGCAATATTCTGTAGGGATTTTGCAGCAACATCTAAAAGGACAGACTGGATCCTCTGTACTAGACAGTGCACATACTCTGCCCAGAAACATTTCCATTCCAAGGAGTATATCAAAGAGAAACAACTAAGAGCAAGGCTGTGAGGGAAAAGTAAGATTTTAAAAGCTACAGAAGACACTAGAAGAACCAATAAAGGGGTTTCTACGTATTTTCCTTCGCTCCTGACAGTGCATTGGTGTTAATTTCAAAAATATTCTGTGCTCGTAGCAGTTCACAGAATAGCTTGAGCTCTTGTAGTGCCCCTGTAGCCCAAGTATGAGATGAAGTTGGACAAGAGAAGTTCAAAGCACAGTAGAGGAACAATAAATGAACCTGGATGCAGAGGACAAATCAATTCCTTCGAGGGACTGGAAACCCTTCCTGTTCTGTCAGTAAAGGGAGCTCCTGCTCTACCCCTCTACTYTCCATAGAAATAGTTATTCTATATCACAGACATAAAGAGCATGTTAATAGAACATCCTCTCAGTGCAGCATCATGCACAGAGCAGACAGAAAGCTTTCACTCTCCTGTTAAGAAACACAGGAACAAAGTTAAAATGAAAGCACTTAAATCAAGACTAAGGCAGACAATTTAACTCACCTACCAGTGTATGATTCGCTTTGCCTTTGTAACTCATATTAAAATTTAGAACTTCTGTTATTATGTATTCTTTAAACCATTACCATAGAAGTCACTGATGAAATTCAGTAGTAAGGAACCTATGGATATTTTCTCACACATTCAAGGAAGGTCTAGCATCAAAAACAGACTTAGGTGCTCAGAGCCTTCCACTCAAGTCCTTCTCCACTCAAGATGGTGAAAAAAAAAAGTCTCCCATCTCAAGGAGTAAAGGTCTTGATTAGATCTCCCCTTAGCCTTCCTAACAAATAATTAAACAAATTTAATTCTCTCCCACATGTGGTACCAGTCCAACCATGGCAGTTCCCCTCTCAGGACTCCCTCCAGTTTTTCATTATCTTTTTTGTACTGGAGGTTCAAACCTGAACCCAGAATTACAGAGGCAGTATCATGAGAACTGATGTTACTTTAAGCTTAACATAAAATTATCCAAGAACTTCAATAAATATGTACTTTTGGAACAGGAATTTGATAATCTATGGCTTAAAAGAGTAATAGAAAAAAACACACAAATACCCTCCCACCCCCCACTAAAAGGGAACACATAAGCTAGTGTGCACTGAATTATAAAATTAACTGAATTACTCTGAAAAATTCAGATGTCTTGCTATATTTGTGATATATATAGGTCTTTATCAATTTCTAAATTTTGATTTGATATTTAAGAATAAGAATATGGAATTAGAAGAAATTTCTGATTAAAGTCAAAATTTTCAGGATGGTCCTCTTCACACAGAGGAAACCTCACGCACTGTAAAAGCAGATTTGAAATGGAAMTGAAACCAGAAACGTGTCAAATGTGGAGCAATTTCCCAAAGGTGGCTTCCAAAACCTACATCAATTTTTTTTCCTCAAGAAAAATTCCATCTTTGACCATGAAAGCAGATGTAGAGGAACCACTCTGGAGGTTCTGCAATGTCTGACAACAGACTGTAAGTCCGCAGGAGCGTTAACGCCTCTACAAAACAGYCCACTGCCCTGGTATTGATAATGCTGAAATACTAGTTCCATGACAAATTTTAGCAATAAAGTTCAAGTCACCTTTGCACTTGTCCAAAGACCAGGAAAGGCAGCTTTCCTTTCTATGAATCCATTTGTCCTCTCATGACACCACTGGAATTACCTTTGGTAAATCCTGCTACCAGACAGGACGAGGAAGAACCTCAACTTGGCTCCACAGCAGATTCTGTTGATTTCCTCTCATTATGAGATAAATGGCAGACCAGCAGTTTTCAACTAGCAAGGCAGAAATAATGATCACCATCTGCATTTCCTCTTCACAGAAACTATTTTCTGAAAGTCATCACTTGTACAATAGTCAGAGGGCAACAGAACAAGAGTGACAAGATATTCTGAAATATTCTGAAATGCAAACTCCTCCAAAGCTGCAAGGCAGCTCAGTGTTCAGAGCTCATGGCAGAACATCGACTGCGCCCAGAGCCCACTATTTCTGCTCTGCAAACCTAAAAACTGCAAAGACTGCAAATGTTTTCTTTCAGAAGGAATGTGTATTATAACTGCAGTCACATTAAGGTTCTTTATTCCTAACGGAGCAGAAAGAATGAGTCAGTGAGTACTTCTTAATAGAAAACAGAAAAGATAAAACTGGCAGATTGATATCCAAGGAGCTGCCTTGTGGAGAAAGCTCAGTGCAGGTCAGCTGGGAAAACACTTCTCTGAGAATGCCTGCAAGCCCGAAAATGAAAACAGAAAACTCCATAAAAACAAAGCTTGCAAATATCTCAAATACTCCTGTGTCCATATGAACCACTGAATACAGCTGTGTAATGCCTAACTGAGCCCTCTACAACCTATTGCCACAGAACTCCTGCTGGGAAGCAAATCTTGCTGAAATGTGATATATAGGCTCTTTCAGAGGTGCATAAAAGAAAGGAGAGAAAAGAGTACAGAAGAAGAGAAGGTTAATTATCATTTATTTTTTTCCTATTCCTCAAGGCAGCTCCATTCTATTGCCTTCTTCCCCCCCCACCCCCCCCCAAAAAAAAATCAAAGAAAAATTTTTTATCTGTACAAGACTATTGCTTGGAACCACAGATGTCCAATTTTTTAAATTAGATGTTTTTATACTATACAGGGAGTGAATGATACAGGCATTTATATTATAGCAGCTTATCATCACATGCTGGAAGCTACTGAAGAAGACTGTACCAAGTCTGAACCATCATTTCTTTTAGTGTAGATTTGGGTTAATAAATACCTAACATCGCTAACAAAATTAAGAATAAAACTGCTACAAATTAAATACCTAAATCATAAGTAGTGAAATAAAAATGATCTGTACCACCTGATAGAAGATAAATATGAAGGCTAATTCTTGGCACACAAATCCAGGCCTGCCTTAATTAAAGTTGAATATATATTATGTTTGTGTGTGTGTGTGTGTGTGTGTATATATATGTATTAGTGCACACACAATCCATTTGCCATAAAGGCATTTAATCTCTTTTTCTGTGCCCCTTTCTCACCCCAGGCAGCATGGAGCTCAAGGCTAGAAGACAACATGGCAAAAAGCAGTGAGTGAGAAGCAGTCTAGAAGGACACACTGAAAGAAAATGACTGAAGATGTTCAGTATTCTGTTATTCCTTTAAATTCTTTCCTTTGAAGTCTTTTCAATGATTCCTTACCTTAGGAAAGTCCTTCCTAGGGCATCAACACAAGGAGGGGAAGAGAGGCAGAAAGAAAGAGCAACATTTCCATTTGCAGGTTTGTTCGAGGACTCCTACACACAGCACAGGCAGGAAGCAGCAGGTTGCTGTWAGCACCCGTGTGGTCATTCCCCGCCGGGGACAGCGTAATGCAAAATCCAGCGCTGCCCCTCGCGGCCTCCTCACAGCAGGTTCCGCGGGAGGCCATGCAGCCCCGTCCCCTGCTCAGAGCAGCATCGGCTACAAGCTGAGAGCAGGTCACGTGGGGCCTTGAAGGCCTCCAAAGACATCACAGCCTCGCTGGACAACCTGCTGCCTCACTTAGCTACCCTCATAGAGAAAAACATTACCCTCATGTCCTATCCAGAGCCCCCATTTCATTTACCATCAGTGTCTGTTGTCCCATGGACTGCTAGCCTCTCCTGCAGGCTGCACAGCTCAGTTGCCCCAGCCYCACGTGTCCTGGTGCCCTTGCACTCAGATCATCAACTTCTTTCCTGTATTAGGGGGCACAGGACTGGATGAAACAATTAGATGCAGCCTCACAAGTGCCCAGGGAAGGGGAATCCCTTTCCCTGGCCTGCTGGCCGTGGCCCTGAACAGCCCAAGATGCCAGTAGCTTTCAGCGTGGCCTCAGGACCCAGCAAGACCCCGGTCCCTTTCGAGAGGGCTGGTRTCCCAGCTCGCCCAGGCCGCCTCCTGGCCAGGACCTCTTCCTTGCCAGGAGYAGCACTTCATCCTTACTGAGCTTCCTCGAGCTCCTGCCAGCCCCTCCAGCCTGCCTAGGCCCTTCTGGGCCCTGCTCCCAGATGCATCAACTGCTCCATCCTTGTGCCGCCGCCATCCGGAGCCATCCGCAAA